TAGAGTTTCCCAAAAGCCCCTTGTGCAAAAGCCTCACCCATGCTGAGCTTTCTCAAATCAATTGTCCACTCATCAAAATTGTCAAGACCCTCAGTTGGGGAGCTGCTGTCCATTAGAGCTTGAGCCAAAGCATCATCACTCAAAGCATGTGTGACTCTTCCTCTACGATTGACACTCTGTGCAACAGAGCAGTTATCATTGGCACGCCTTCGCAACCCTTGGTGGTTTAACATGCGAGTACGTGAATCATTGGATCCAACACTGCTATTATCAATGGACATTGCAACAGATCCCCCACCGTTGCTTGTTTGCATGCTTCCAATGCTGTCAACTGACATATTGGTACCTTCTTCCAGCTTATGGTAAAAGCCTTGAGAAAAATCATAATTGTTATTATTATGTTTGTTTAAGTCTATTATACCAGGGAATTTTGCACCGCCTTCCAACATTTTTACCGCCGAAAAGCAAAAGCTTCAAGTACGTTATTTCTTCAACATCAGAAATTGCAAATTCAACCACCTGAACAAAATCCCAGAAACCAGTATATACAAAGGTAAGCTTTGAGAACTTTAAAACCTTCAAAATAATTCTCTGTATAAATGCAACCTCATGTTTCCATTCATCTTCCATGCAAAACATGCCAAATTAAAACATCTACTATAAAACCTTCCGAATACTTTTCTGGATAAATTTAATTTCAAAAAAAGTACAAACGAATTCGTTAATTTTGCCAAATTCAAATTATAGACTTCATCAAAAATCAAGAAAGGCGATTTTATGCATTAAACATGCTTCTCACAACCATCCACATTTCACTAAACTGGAAATGATTCGAAACATAAGCAAAAAAGGCAAGGAAGGAAAACATCATTGAAGCCAAACATAACGATCTGCAGCAAAACAACATAAGTGAGCAACCTTGAACGCAAATTTAAAACAGGGCCAGCTTATGCAAACTGAAGCATGACTCTCTCAAAGATAATCAATTTACAAAAGATTAAAACAACCAACAAAAAGAGAAAAAATGGGTAAAACAACAGATTAAAGGCCATAAGCTCCGATACTGGTATTCCCTCTGTTAAATCTACCCCAGATATTCACGAACTCCCCAGTGATCTTATATGGAAAAGGGGAAAAAAAACAAAACCAAAATACTGAAACCTCAGTGAACCCTAAAATCTCATAATTACAGAATCAAAAGCTTAAAGAGCCGTAGCGTCACGTACCTTGTGAGGGCTTAACTATGCGAGCCCCGATGATAAAGTCATCAAAAAGAGGAGACAAGATCGAAAAGGGAAAGAATGAAATCGAAATGAGGAAGATTGCGCCCCTGTAGTCTGTACGAAAGAAACCAAAGACCAAAGACCGAAGGAGGACTTTCTTTTTAATTATTTATTCCTTTGCTCAGTCTTTTCTTAATTTTGCTTCTAGCGATCCTGGGAGTAACGTCCTTGGCTTCACGTTTTTCTTGCACATATTTTATTTCTATCTGACAATACATGCGCATATATACACACACTCACACAAACACCAAAAAAAAAAAAACAAAACAAAACAAAAGAACAAGCCATGACTGAGATGAGAGATTGCTGATGATCGTATCAGCGGTCTCCGTTTTACTGTAATGAATTAGAACAACGTAATCTCAAATTTTTTGAGTAAATCAATTAACATGATAAAAATAAATATTATACCTTTAATTTTGCAGATATACCTTTTTTGCCAACGAATTTTGGAGATATTGAGTTAATGTGAGATATATATATATCTAGAGAGAGAGAGTAAATATGTACAGTAGACATATTACCAAAAACAAAATGACATGTAATATCAAGAATCTAGCCATTAATTATGGTATATTCCATTGGCCTTATGTCCAAATCGAATGCATTATAAGCGTTGACAAAAAAAATCAAATGTGCTACTATATATAAGATTTTCAATTTCAATATTTTTTAATGCTGAAAAAGAAAAATAATCTCGGTAATAATATAAAATTCTCAATGTAAGAATAAATAATCTTGGCAATGATTATGGTGTAATCTTGATCAGAGATTACAATAAGCAATATGGTTTTACCTAATTCTTACAAATTTGAAATACTTCACATAAAAAATATTTTTTCTTTACAAGCTTGTAATGATCTCGTCTTGGTGCTAGAAAAGAAAAGAAAGAAACTGTCTGAATAATATTTTTATCTTTGTATAAAAATTCAAATCAATTGGTTAGACCGGTCACTAAACCAGTCTAATTGATAAGCTAAATTAAGGGTGGCTATGAATTTGTCAACTCAAACTACAACCTTTGGTAGGTTGATTGAGTTTACTCCTTCCCCCTCCTTACTGTCTTTCTTTTTGTAAATATTGAATTATAAATCAAATTTAAAATCCTTGATTAATATTTTCAATGTCATTGTACTTCATTATTATCAGAAACTTATAATTAATATTTGCATAAAACATGAATGAGATTCTATGGATAGATTTTTATTTTATTTGAGAGGTAATGACTTTTTTATTTGAATATTATTATTTTTTATAATTAAATAAGAATATTTTATTTTTAAATTGAAATATATTATTGAGAATATTATATCCAGATAGAACTTTAAAATTTATTTTTCATAGTTAAAACTTTTACCATCGCTTAAGTATTTATTGTTGGTCCAGAAAAGCTCAAATATTTATTCAGAATGCTAATAATAAACATAATAATTCAAATATTTAAAAATAATATAATTTTTTGTTATTTAATTGCTACGGATAATATAAATTCATAAACTGATTACCAGCTTATGTCTGTAAGTATAATACTCTAACTGAGGAACAATTCAAAAACTAAAATTTGCCTTAGTTTTTCAATATTTTTTATAAATTTGATATTAGACTTTTAAATAAATAAATTTTTCTTTTTATTAGATTAAAAGACATTTTTACTCTAAAATATGTTTTGAAAAGCATTTGTCATTCTAAAATGTACATAAAAGCAATGTTATTCCTCAAATATCAATCACTGAAATGTATATAAATTAACAAACATTGATATCAATAGTTAACTCTTAAAAAAGAGAATCTGGTTTAACCAAAACAAAGAGAATCTGGTTTAACCAAAACAAATGCCATATCTACATAGAAAAATGTTTAGAGTAAATGACAATTTTTCCCCCTTTTAAATATTGACGGAGTCGCAATTGGAACTCAAGTTTCAATATTCTTTTAAGGAAAAACTTATATACTTATATTTGTATACTTGATATACTTGTTTTTAATTAAATCAAGACAAGTGACTTTTTTACATATTATTTATTATGTAATAAATTTTTATTATTAATAATATCAATACATTAAAATTTACTTGTTATAATTTAATTGAACATAAATATATTAAGTATATAAGATTAATTATGTAGGTTTTGCCCTTCTTCTAATTGCTATTTTACATTCCACATATTCTAAAATTAAAAAATACTAATAAAATAAAATTTTAATAGTCTACATTTTTTTAGGTGAAATCTCAATTGTCTAATTTTCATCCTCTAAAGAACGTAGCTCGAGATTATAATGCACTATCCTAATTATTATTTTTTACATTTTACGACATAATTAAGATAAGAAATTTCTTAAAATTTAATAAAATAATTTTGCTTGAAAATCAAATGTAATAATTTTAATAAACATTATAATCATTGTTTTCAAACTCTCAATTTGACTATAAAAATTTATCATTTTTATATTTTTAATTTATAAAATTTTATTAGCTTACTCATAAATTCGGACTAAATGTAAACTCCGTTAAACTCAGTAATTAACTTTCTAAGTTTAATGTTTTTATTTTTTTAATTTATAAAATCATATTAACTTATTTATAAGCTCAGACTAAATATATAATCAGTTAAACTTGTTAAACTCATTAATTTTTTAGTAAATTGAATGAGCTAGATATATATTATGTAAAACTCAGTTCATAAAAATAATAGGACCTGATTAAAAAAATTCAAAAAGAAAAAACTAATATTAATAAAAAAGAAAAAAATACCTAAAATAAGTTGCCTAATTTAAATCAAATTATGACCGTATTTTATATTTTAATCATTTAATTGTATATTTTTAATGACTATTTATTAATAGAAATAAGCTCTCACGAGTCTATGATCTTAATTTATAAATTAAGTTTACATTCTTATCATGAGTTGTATAATATTGTTTGGTATAAAATTAAAAAAACATAGCATCTTTTTTTGAGAAAATAACAAGTAAGAATCTTATAAAAATATTAACGTCAAATTAAAAATTTTAATACTCAAACATAGTAGAAGGACTATTAAAATTTGAGAATGTCAATGTTAAAAAATTATAATGTGATATTAATGTTCTTACAAGTTATAAAGTCTTTATTTATCATTCTTCCTTATTTTTTCACAGAAAATTCCTCATATATTCAAGGAAAATTCGATCTTTTTATGCTTTGGACAACTCAACCTACTTTAACTTCATCATTAATACCATATTCAAGCATCAAACTCAGATCTCAGTCACAGCTATGAAATTTCTATTGTATTTCTACATAACTTACAAATTCTATTTTAATTTTCAAAATACTAAAAATTGAACCTTCCATTAAACTAGTCGAGACAATAGTTAAAGGATTCATGGTCTTACCAAGGTCAAACTGAAATTAAACTGGTCATGATTAAAATAATATATTTTAATTAAAATATATGAAAATATGTTCTTATTTGACTATAGAAAAATAATGCATAAATAAAAAAGATATTAATTTTCAAAATATTATATGTAAACCATAACAAAATAAATTAATAATAACACAAAAAAAATTGTAATGAGAAAATAAGTAAGAAATTGGAGAACTAAAAGATAAGAAACAAACAAAAATCTGAAAATAAAAAAAATATCAGGATTAAAGATTTGGATTAGATACACGGAAAAAGCATATTATAATAGTTACGTGAATCCTTGATATATTGGTAAGGCAAACTGAAATATTGGTGTTAATAATAGTATTTTAAATATTGTTTAATTATGAAGGACATATTTATGCTATTCACTGAATACCCAGAACGCCTACTACTGCTAGTGCCTGGTCTCATCCCATAATTATTGTTACTACTCTCTTGCTCTCCTACTCTTGCACTCGGCACCTTCTTTTCCTGTTACACAAATTCAATATCACATTCACCATCAGAGTTTCTAATTAAAGCATATTGATGTATATTGGAAGTATCTGAACTAAGAGCGAGAAGCTCCGCCTTCTTTTCAGTTTTTTTAGAGAGAAGATTCATCTTCTTCCTTGCTTCCTCTACAGCTTTCATGTCTCCAACTCTCTTATGAATTCTCAGTCCAAAATTGATGCAAACTTCATCTTTTCAACCTCTTCATCACATAAACAGACCTCAAATCCCCCTGCATCCAAAGAAGAGATAAACTTACTTAATAGAAATACTTCTAAACTTGATGACGTCATGGTTGATAAAGATTCAGAAATTCATCAACAACCAGAACTGCAAACAAAACAGAACAACTTGGTTTGCACTACTTTCTATAGCAGCGAGCAATAGAGGCATCCTGTGGAAATACAAACTAACGAAAATCCTGGAAGCCAAGCCAAACCATGCAAGCCAGATTTATATCAAGGGATTAAAACACCTATCTCTTATAAAGACTCCCTGATTGGATACAATGGTTGCTATGGTATTAATACAGGAGGAAGCGCTAGTCATAGAAATGAAACTCTTGCAAAGGAATTAGACAAAGAATGGATACCATCTGAGAAAACAAAGAAGCTGATGGATCAATATCCATCTCTACAAATTTGCAATGAAGAATGGAAGAAAATATGCTTACCTTGGATGGATGCAATTGTCATTAACACTTTGGGTTTACAGCTCAATCCAAAATCACTTAAATGAAGGTTAGCAAAAATGTGGCAACTTAAAGATTTTGAATTGACTAATCTAGCCAATAGCTACTATATTGTTAGAACTAAGGATCATTCTACCTACAACAATATCTGAATGATGGCCTTTAAATAATTTTTGACCATTGTATCCTTGTTCAACATTAGTCTCCTAGTTTCAATCCGAACTCAAACACACTAGGAAAAATTGCGCTCTAGGTTAGATTGACCAACATTCTAATACAATTCTATGATAAAGAGGTGCTTTGGAGATTAAGAAACCGCATAGGGAAAACTTTAAACGTGGATTCCAACTTATTATTTGAATCCAACTCCAAGGATGAGCAAGGTAAGACTAAAAAGGTTACGTTTATGAGGATCAGTGTGGAAATGGTTCTTAAAAAACAACTTGTACTAAGACTCCTTATCAGAAATGAATTATATAACATAGAATATGAAAGCCTAAATCTCATTTGTTTTGGTTGTGGATGCTATGGACCCATTAAAAACAATTTCCCCCACAACCCTAAAAACAAAACCACGATCAAACTAAATTTAATAAAATAAAAAGCAGATGAATAGAACAACAACAACAAACCAACAAAAGAACAAGAAGAAATAGAATATAGAAGTAATCAACATCTGGGTCTATCAGGAAAAAAAATCAAAACTTATCAAAGGAAGAGTTCAGCGAGTTAATGAGATTCCAACCACCAAGAAACGTGTAAAACCCAAGATATGCAATAGGCAATAAACCATCTTGCCAGAATCGAGGACCTAACCTCTTAACTAGGGTGAGATTCGACGTCCTAACTACCTTAGATCATGAAGAAGAAGATTAGAGAAGAGTTGAGTCAGCTCTTGGCAATGGCTTAGCTAATATTATCCCTATGAAGGTTATCAAATAGGTATGGAGAAAGAAAGAGATGACAGACGTGAATAGGGCAAGACCTAGAGAATAAGAAGCTACAGCCAACTCTCCCAGGGACTCTAATTTGAGCGTACAAGAGAAAGGGAAAAGGGTTACAAGGACTAGGCCATCTTTTAATTGGGAAGCCCAAAAACCATCAACTTGGACAAAAAAGAATCCAACGAGTTGTGGCCCAATAATGTGAACAATAGGCCCACAAAAAGAATTCACAGTGTTATCAAAGGAAATAAGAGAAATTTAGGCTCTTTAAATAAGTCCAAAAATGTGAATGCTACTTAGCCCACCATTGAATCTCAAGACACAGATAAAATCAAAGTTGGAGCTCAATTTTCCCCTGATCTTAATGTTTGAAATATAGCCATGAATGATTCAAGAAACTCTCAACAAATTTCTCTAATTATTTCCAATTCTCTCATTGATCAGAGAAAGCCTCCTGACCTGGGAAATAATTAAAGCTTTGTTCCAGAAACTCAATTCAATGACTCTTCCATCATAGAATCTAACAACAATTTATTAAGCCTGGTAGATATTCAAGAGGACTTCATTCATAAGGACATTAATGATGACATTCTTGATGATGATTTGCTTGATGAAGATTTTGATAATCAAGCCCATAATGATGAGTTTGAGGATGAGGAATTCAATGATGATTCAATTGAAGAAGCATCTAAAAATCCAAATGACTAATCTAAATCTAGGTTTGTTTACTCCTTTTATTTTATCATGGATATTATTTGCTGGAATTGTAGGGGTTCTTGTGTAAAAAAATTTCCTAAACATATAAGAGAAATCATTAATACTTATAATACTCAAATTCTTATTTTTCTTGAAACTAGAGCTAGTGGTAATAAAGATGATAAAATTGTTAGAAAATTGAGTTTTTCTAACTAGATTCAGGTTAAAGCTACTGGTTATGCTAGCGATATTTAGTTATTATGAAATAATGATATTGTCAATATTGATTATATTTACTCTAATGTTTAACTTTTACATTGTAGAGTCAACATTTTAGCTTCTAAAAATTTTTATATGCTATCCTGTATTTATGGTGATCCTAACCCTTACAATCATGACCCCCTCTAGAACTTTATCATCTCCATTGCTAAACAAACTTTTGATCCTTGGCTAATTATGGGTGATTTTAATGCTGCCTTTCTTGTCAGGATAAATTTGGGGGAAATAATTTCAATTGGAGGTATATGAAGCAATTTAGATGTTGTATAAATTCTTCCAATCTACTTGAACTAAAGTTCCATGGTGATAGATTTACTTGGGAAAAAGGCAATATTAAAGAATGACTGGATGAGGCTTTTTGCAACATAGAATGGAGATTTCAATTTCACCAAGCCAACTCTTTTCACTTACTTAAGTATAGATCTAACCATCGTCCAATCAAAATTCAATTACATAAGGAGGAGCACCAAAAGCATCATTCCAAAACCTTCCGTTGTCATGCTGCTTAGATGCTTGAGGATTCCTTCCATCCTCTTATTAAAGATTCGTGGACTAATAACAATTGGAATGAGGGAGTTACTAAATTTACAACTTCTACCTCCAACTAGAATAAGGAAAACATTGGCAACATACCTTCTAAAAAGAAAAGAATCTTGTGAAGATTAGAAGGTATTGATAAAAATAGAAACCATAGAGACAATCACTTTTTAAGGAAGTTGGCAAAGTCTTTTTGGGAAGAATACAACAAAGTTCTAATGCAAGAAGAATTAATTTGGTTCTAAAAGTCTCACTACAAGTGCTTAAAATAGGGTGATCTAAATACTAAATTCTTCCATACTACATATATTATCAAGGAAAAAAGGAATTAGATTCTTTCCCTTAAAGAGAATGATGATACTTGAATTAAAGATGGTTGTTTCTTACTTTGAAAACCTATTCAAAGAAGAAGACAATGTCAAACCTAAGCTTCCCACCAAAAAAAGCTTCCTTGCTCTCTCCTACATTCAGCTTCAAGCCCTTCATAGAGATGTTACTAATGATGAAATTAAAAATGCAGCATTTGATATCCGGGCTTTCAAAGCCCCAGGTTCGAATGGCATCAATGCAAGATTCATTCATTCTTACTAAGAAGATCTGAAGCACAGCATCATAAATCTTACCAAAAAGGTTTTCAAAGATCCTGACTCTATTGGAAAGGTTAACAAAACATTCATTACCTTTGTGCCCAAGATTGATCACCCAACTTGCATGAAATATTTTTGTCCTATATCTCTTTGTAATGTGAGCTATAAAATCATCACCAAAATTATCTCTAATCATATACGTGCTTGTATGAATCATCTTATTAGTGATAATCAATGTAACTTCATTTAGGACAGATAAAGCAATGATAATATCATTGTTACCTGAGAGATCATTCATTCTATGAGAAACAAAATTGAGAAAAAAAGATTTATGGCTTTAAAAATTGACCTTGAAAAGGAATTTAATAGATTATCCTGGACCTTCATTGATGACACTCTCAAATTAGTCAGAATAAATAGCTATCTCAGGAAATTAATTCATGCCGCTACCTTTACTACAAGGATGAGAGTACTTTGGAATGGAGAGTCATCTATGGAATTCAAACCTTATAGAGGCATTCGTCAAGGGGACCCTTTTTCTCCTTACCTTTTTGTTCTTTATATTAAACACTTAAGCCATTGCATTCTCACTAGTATTGATAAAAATGATTGGAAGCCAATTAGGTTGACCTTTAATGGGCCTCCCATATCTCATTTATTTTTTGCTGATAATGTTTTACTTTTTGTAGAGTAATCCTTATCTCAAGCTATGATCATCCAATAATACCTTTCAAACTTTTGATGTGCCTCTGGATAGAGAATCAATACTGATAAATCCAAACTTCTTTATTCCAGGAATGTCAATATTAACCGTGCTTCTCAAATTAGTGAGGAGCTAGGAATTCCCCTCACAAGAAATCTTGAAAAAAACCTTAGAATTCCACTAATACATGAAAGAGCTTCTAAGCTCACCTTTGCTCCTCTTCTTGATAAGGCAAATTCATGCTTGGCTAGTTGGACAAGCTATCATCTTAATATTATAGGGAAATATGTGATTATCAAATCCATTCTCTTTGCTCTATCTAGCCATACCATGTGAATTATGCTCTTACCTGATAATATCTTAGTTGAATTAGATAAAATATCCAGAAACTTTCCCTAGGATTCTTTAGACGGGAATAAAAAACATCATCTTCTCTATTGGGATTACATCACTTTTGATAAAAAAGATGGGGGCCTAGGCATCAAGAAGCTCAAGAGTTAAAATTTTGCCTTTATCATGAAACTTTGTTGGGCCCTTATCACCAAACCAAATTGCCTTTGGGTGCAGGTCTTACGCAAGAAATGTAAATGTAATAAACTCATAATTCTAATGGTTTGTAAACCTAGCTGTTGTTCTTATACCTAGAGTAGCATATGCAAAGTTTGGGATAAGTTCACATCCCAGATAGGTTGGAAAGTAGGCAAAGGTGACCAAATATCATTTCAGTATGATAAATGGTCCCCCCTTCCTAATCCTCTTATCAAATATGCCTTCCATTATGCCGACTCTATTCTTCTTGTATGGCTCTCGAACTTTAACAATACTGCAAGAGGTTGGAATTTTGATCTTTTGAATGCTACCTTCATCTTGAGGTCATTAGACAGATTGCACTTGTTCATCCTCCTAACTAACAGGGTGATGAAGATGTTCTTATTTAGAGAGCTTCCTCTAATGACAACTTCTCAGTCAAATTTACCTATAAACCTTTGGAGATTCAAAAAGATCAAAATTGCTCTAATATTTGCTCCAAGATTTGGAAATAGCCCATAAGTCAGCAGGCTAATTATGCTACTAACCCACAAGTCACAAGTGGCCTCTAGTAAGACATTACAACTACCCAATTCATATAGAGATTGATGATTCAATATAACCTATCATGTAATTGTATCACATTCCTTTTGTCATGCAATATTTCGGTCAACTGTGAGACATGAAATTGTCATTCCCTTTTACCTTACCATTACTTTCTCGATCTCTAAGTGGCTAATTATAAGAATGAAAAAACCCTTTTCATTGTAGTATGACCTTATATTTTTTCAGTCTTACTCATCGAAGGGCCCAATAATATTTCTCAATTAACATGAGGGATAAATTTCATCTTGACCACTCATATTCCTCTGCATTAATATCACTAAACTCAATCATAGCTTTTATGATCACCCAGTCAAAGGTGACTTTTGACTTGATCAAAGGTGACTTTTGACTAGGTCAAAGTTCAATGATTATCATGTAGGAATCTATGATGGTCTCAAGTCAAAGGGCTTAATGATATATGGTTAAATATGAGATAAGCTTATAACTTGTACTATGCAGCTTTCTCATAGCGGGTTGGTCTAGCACTTTATACTCTTTCAACTGCTTACAACTTTGATTTATATCTCTATAATTAACTAAAGTCATACTAGTCTTGTTTTATCTATGATCTCTCATAAATAATTGGCTAGGGACATTTAGAACAATCACTATAATTTGTCCAAGAATACAGTTATCATAGTGAACATACATGCAATTAATATGATAACAAAAGAGAAATTCTATAAATAATAATATTTATAATACAATGATTGGCTCTAGGGCAAAATTTCCAACATGCAAAATAATGACAAAGTTTCGTTCTTGTTAACTCTTCTATGTCACTATTTCATTCTTTATAAATAAGTGTATTTATAGTTGAGAGTCACAAATGATTCGTTAGACTCATTAATCTTCTTGTTGGATGTTAGTTGCTCTCTGTCTTCCTCTTTTCTCTAAGTTTTCCTATATACTTAAGCTTATTTGAGTTTCTCCAGTGGTTGAGGCAATGTAATAGTACTTTATAGTGGAGGTTTCTCTTTATGCAATGTAATGGTTATAAACATTAAATGCTTTAATAGAAGTAGGTGAAGGTTTATATTGGTGTTGCATTTCAACATAGGTGTTATGAATCAAGAAAAAGTCACAAAGAGTTTGATCTAAGTAATAATTGTTTTTAGATAGTTTCTAAAAAG